CGATTACAAAACTATACAGGTATTCAAGGGCAGGCTTTAAGATGGTTTAGATCCTACCTGTCCGATCGCTACCACTTTATTTAAATGGGAGTCATCTAAAGTAATGGCGTGCCACAAGGATCTGTCCTTGGTCCTCTGCTATTTTCGATATACATGTTGCTCCTTGGTAATGTTATTATTAGAAAATACGGGATTAGTTTCCATTGATATGCTGATGATACTCAACTATATATCTCAACAAACCAGATGAAACTTCTAAATTATCTAAACTAACAGAGTGTGTTAAAAATGTAAAGGATTGGATGACCAGAACATATAAAAAAAAAAAAAAAGTTTGAATAATGTTATATTTTGGCTGAAAAAAAATTTGTAGAACATTGTAAGAAATGCTTTTGTAACGTTTAGATAACATTCTAATCACAATATAAAAAAACTAGACATTTCAACGTTTTATAAACATTTCGAAACAATGTTCCCACAATGTTTTTATAACCCACATTTGTCACTTAGGAAGATATGTCTTGCTTTCTGAAAGAAGTGTTTTGCCTAAAACATGAACAAATATCTGTCAGTGGGCTCAGAAAAATAACTTAATTCAAGGCAAAACAAGATTATCATTCTGATCACATTAGTAGATATTTTTCTTGTTTTAAGCAAAAACCCTTTAGATATTTGTATATGGAAATCCTGAGGAAGAACACGATGTTTGCAGCGCAGAAGCTTCCAGGAGCTGTGAGGAGAGTGTTTTAGAAGTGAAAGTGTGCCGCCCATCCCAACGAGAAGAGTCACTTCTGAAATAAACCTGAGGAGGAGCTCAGGAACATCATTAGAGGTGCTGATGACACTCCAGTCAGACACGGCACTCACGTCTGGACGATGAAGATCGCTCTTCCTCTGTGCTGATCTTTACACAATCAGGTAAACGAACAGAGAGAACATATACGCTCAGATCTGTGATGATCAGAGGTGTTTGATTCGTTTGTGCTCTTCACAGGAGATGAGTTCTGCTCTCATTCATGACAAACTCTTCATCAAGTCATTCTGGGAGCAAAAGATCAACAATCACAATCACATGACAGAAACTGAAGAAGAGAGGATGAAGAGGAGCGCTCTCACCAAGTAAGTCTCAGAAATCAGTTACATCACAATATAATATCATTATAGTAAACCAATTACGCTGCAAAAAATGACTTTCTTACTCAGTGTTTTTGTCTTGTTTTCTAGTATAAATATCCAAATCTAGATTCTTGTTTTAAGTGGAAAAAAAAAAGAAAGAACAAAAATGATACATTTTTTTTAGAAAACAAGACTTTCTATCTATACTCATTTGGCTTTTCAGGTAAATGTATCTAGATGCATGCATGTTTAGATATTTATAATAGAAAACAAGACAAAAATACAAAAAGTGATATTTTTACTCTTGGATGATAATAATAATAATAACTGGATAATAATAATAATATAATATAATCCAGAATAATTGCAAGTAAAAAACACTCCAAACACTCTATATTATATAGTCTTTTTTCTGTTTGATTTCACAAATGTGACCCTGGAGCACAAAACCAGTCATAAGGGTCAATTTTTTTAAATTGAGATGTATACATCATCTGAAAGCTGAATAAATAATCTTTCCATTGATGTGTGGTTTGTTAGGATAGGATCATATTTGGCTGAGATACAACTATTTGAAAATCTGGAATCTGAGGGTGCAAAAAAAATCTAAATATTGAGAAAATCATCTTTAAAGTTGTTCAAATGAAGTTCTTAGCAATGCATATTACTAATCAAAAATGAAGTTTTGATATATTTACGGTAGGAAATTTACAAAATATCTTCATGGAACATGATCTTTACTTAATATCCTAATGATTTTTGGCATAAAAGAGAAATGTATAATTGTGACCCATACAATGTATTGTTGGCTATTGCTACAAATATACCCCAGCGACTTAACACTGCTTTTGTGCTGCAGGGACACATATATTATTATTATTATTAATATGCACAGTCCAGTGGCTGTGGCTGTGCTGTTCTCTGAGCTGATATTTAATATCTGTGTCCTGCTGAGGACAGAAGATTATCAGAGTAACGGCCCTCAAATACAATAATCCATGTTGAGACGGCAACAGGTGTACAAATATATTCAACTGTATTTCTCACGTACAGTCAATTATACTTATGTTACAGCGAATTCAGAGAATTACTAAAGCTACTTTTTGATCTCACATCCAACATCAACCATTATATAATACACTACACTATATATATATATATATATATATATATATACACTTGTGTATATACATGTCGTTTTTTTTGTGTATATGCAAGGATGCATTAAATTGATCAGAAGTGTCAGTAAAGACATTTATGTTACAGTAGATTTCTATTTGAAAAAAAACGCTGTTCTGTTGAACTTTCTATTCATCTGTCAATCCTGAAAAATAAAATGTATCAGTTTCCAGACAAATATTGTGCAGCACAATTGTTTTCAACATTGATAATAATCAGAAATGTTTCTCGAGCAGCAGATCAGCATATTAGAATGATTTCTGAAGATCATGTGACACTGAAGACTGGAGTAATGATGCTGAAAATACAGCTGCACATCACAGGAATACATTACAGTTTAACAGATATTCACATAGAAAATAGTTATTTTAAATTCTAATTATTTTACTGTATTTTTGATCAAATAAATGCTGTCTTGGTGAGCAGAACAGACTTCTTTCAAAAACATTTTAAAAAATCCTCAAACTTTTGAACACTAGTTCATATGCTTGAAACTATGGCTGCAAAACTATTAATCACGATTAATTCAAAATAAAAGTTTGTTTACATACTATATGTGTGTGTACTGTGTATATTTATTATGTATATATAAATACATAATTAAAAAATAATATATTTAAAAAAATATATGTACTATGTATATTTATGTATATATAAATACATAATTAAAAATATATATATTTTAAAAAATATTTGTATGTGAACGTGTATTTATATATACACAATAAATATACACAGTACACACACACAGTATGTAAACAAACTTTTATTTTGAATTAATCGCGATTAAAACAATGTGGCGTTTTATCAGAAAGCTGCTTTTTACAGTCAGTTTAACAGGATTGCACTGATTGACGTGCATGAACTCTACAGTAATGCGTTCTGTTGTAAAGGTTTAACCGTGTGATTTCAGGCTGCGTGACGAGTGGCTCACCAGACTGGACCTCCGGACCAAACATCTGAAGAATTTTGGCGACAATCGCGGGGGAAATCCAGCACTGAACTAACTGTGACACACAGATGAGTGCAGCTCAATAAACACAGTCACCGAGTGCTGCTCCGCTCTCTTTATTTCACACATTCAGAGCGATGGAAATATAGAGGTTCAGGCCGCGGGGAACAGGTGCGATGAAGGACACAAGCTCTGTCAGCCCTCGTTTAAACACAATCCATCATCCATAATGAACACAAACCCCTCTGTGTCGCTGTAGAAAGTGTCAGAGGTCATCCAATATTACAAACCAAACAATAATCAAATGAAAGTCCATCGGGTGCCAGCGAGTGTTTATAATGAAAAAGTCAAAAAGGGAACCAAAACCGAGCCGTTTCACAAACAAATCATCATCTACTTCTTCTTCTTCTTTCCTTTCTTCCCTCCTTCTCCCTGCTGTGATCCGACCTCGGCGCCGCCGCTCTTCTGCGTTCTGCTCTTCAGTTTCGGGATCATCTCCGC